TTTTTTTTTTTTGGAGACAGTCTTGCTCTGTCGCCTAGGGTGCAGTTATGTGATCTTGGCTCACTGCAACCTCCACCTCCTGGGTTCAAGCGATTCTCTTGCCTCAGCCTCCCAAGTGGCTGGGATTACAGGCGTTGTACCACCACACCTGGTTAATTTTATATTTTTAGTAGAGACGAGGTTTCAGCATGTTGGCCTCGAACTCTTGACCTCAGGTGTTCCAACTGCCTTGGCCTCCCAAAGTGCTGGGATGACAGATGTGAGCCACTGCACTGGGCCGTGAGTGACTTCTTTCCTGCTAACCAGGACTGAGACATAGGAAGAAGTTACAAAGCTTTTAGAGTAAGACTTAAGACGTGACTTGCAGTTCAGAGTCGGGCTCTCCTGCATTGTTGAATGGCTGATGCACAGCTGTGCTGGGAGAGACTCGCCCGTCCCTGGAGCATCGTGCCTGGTGAGTGTCTTAGTTGGGCCACACTGCATGGTCTGTGCCAACCATGTGACTTATGGTGGGGGCTTGAGCCACAAGGTGTCAGCCGTGTCTATGTCACCGAACCCCAGTAAGACTCGGGACTGCATCCCTGGTTGGTGATGCTCTGTCTGTTGAAGCTGGGAGGGTTCAGTGATGTCTGTGTGCCTTTACCGGCAGCCCCTGCCTGGCCCCTGTTCCGGGAGCCTCTGTCTTTGCTGGGTTTTGTCTGTCATCCACCTTGACTTTGACAGTTGCGCCCAGTCCTCTGAGTGAATTACTGGCCTGAGGGTGGGGGTGGTGCCCTCTGGGCTCCTGAATAGGCATGAGCCTATGTGTCAAAATACCGCATAGAGTGAACATCTCCATTTTATGGTTCAGAAAACGGAGGCTGGGGGCACTTGCAGGGTGCCCAGGCCCCGGCTGTTGTCAACCAGGAACAGACACAGAGCACACAGCCCTTCCCAACCAGGGTTTATTCGGCGCCTGGGCCCAGTGGCGACGGCCTGGCTAGGTTGGGCACTACAGGGTCCTAACTCCTACCAGGTAGAAGAATGTCACTGAAGAGGGCAGGGCGTGGTAAGTGCGGGTCATGCATGGCCGTCTGAGGGGTCGGGGAGAGGCCAGGACCAGGAGGTGGGGGTGCTGGCCCCAGGAAGCCGCCCCCTTCACCCACAACCTTGGGCTTCACCAGGACCGGGCAGCACAGAGACTGCTCTGCCTTCTCGTGTTGGGGGAAGGGAGGCCTCCTTCACATCACAGCAGGGAAACACCGTGTGGAGGACGGGTTGAAAACACAGCCTCTGCACCAGTTTCTAGAACACAGGGGATGTCCTTCACAAGCAGAAGGGGCCAGGGGTGGGCTCCTCCGCGGGCCGCTGGGAGGCTGTCAGTCCCGTCCCACCGTGCACCAAACAGCTAGAAGGACAGAGACAGGTTAGAGGGAAGGAGTGCGAATGTGGGCAGCTGTGTAGCTGGTGGGGGCCGTCTTGAAGGGCAGGTGGGGAGATGGCTTTGAGTCCTTATGTGACCCACAGGTGCTTGCTGGTCACCCAGGAGCAAACCACACACCTGGGAAGGGAAATTCAGTCTGGCTGGAAGTAGGGGGCTGTGGAAGGGTTGCTCTGGTGCAAGCTCTGGCCGGCATACCTGGATGTGGGGCACCTCAGGGCTGGCTCTGAGCCTGGAGCTCTCCTCTCCCCTAGGACCCTCCCTGCACACCTGGCATTGGGGTCAGGGGCTTGCAGGCAAGTCCCTGGGAGAGGCGGGGCGGCTTCTAGGCTCTTGCCCGGCTCTCCAATCAGTGGCCACTGCAGTTCCAGGCCTTCGCCCCCTACCTGGCACAGAGATCCTGGAGAGGGCCTCAGGCTGGCTCAGTGTGTCCACCTTGACGTGCCGGAACGCCTTACACACGGGACTTTGCAGGTGCCTGCGATCCAGGGACATGTGTTAGTCAGGGGCACCAGGAGTGGAGCTCGGCATGTGGATCCCCTGTTAATCCTAGCTCTGCCCAAAATGGGGAGCTTATAAATAAGCCCGGGGGGGGGGTCTTTGGACTCCAAGCCTTTGTGGGAAGGTGAGGGGGTGCCTAGGGAGGCTGACTCTGGGGATCTCTGGAGTAGGCACTGAGCCTTACATGGGAAGCGGGATCCCCCTAGGAGGAGGAGTGGGGCCATCCTCTGCCTGGGACGGATGACAACACAGCAGCTGTGAAGGGTTTTAGTCCCTCATTTTATGAGTCACTGAAGTACGGACAGGGAGGGGACACCCTCACTTCTCATGACAGCCCCTGTTCCCACAGGGGTCCTGAGTTTGTCTGCAAACTGTGCTTACCGGGGAAGCAGGATATCGGGGCAAGAGCTACCCCCAGGCCCTGCTTCCTGCCTGTGGGGTCTGGCGCATCAGAAATTAGGCTCCACCCAGAGTGGGGAACAACCTGTCCCAGATGTGCTCGGAGCAGACGACAAAGGCCTAAAGCCCATCAGAGCTGATGACACCCTACCCCATCTCCCTCCGTCCTGCCAGGCACTCAGCTGGGGGGGAGGTTAAGCGCTGGAACAGCTGATCACATGGGGACTGAGGTACCTTCTAGGTGAGGTCCTCAGCTCTACAGGGTGGTAAAGAAGGCAGTGCCTTGACCCACAAGGTGCTCTACAGGAAAAGAGTGTGGGGTGGTCTCTCCACCCCCCAGGAGCTCCTGGCTCCAGGAAGACAGCCCCCACACCTCCCTGTGTCCCCCTCACCTGCTATGGAGACCCAGTGTCTCACCTCTTCCATGCCTCCTCCGTCTCCCAGAACTCATAGATGACAAAGGTGAAGCCATCCGAGAGCCTCACGGCAGTGATGCTGCAACAGGAGACAGACAGGCAGGGAGGCTGGGGCTCAACCGTGGCCACCCTAGTCCTGTAGCCCACCCCTATACACAACCGCTGCCTTCAACCTTTCTGGTCCTCCAGCGAGACTCAACAGGGTGCCCCCACCACCTGGAATAAGGCCTGCTTTCTTATAGTGGCCAATAGCTATTTGTCAATGACATGTAGTTTTTCTTTTGAGACAGGGTCACTCTGTTGCCCAGGCTGGAGTGCAGTGGCACAATCACTTCAGCCTCCCAAGTAGCTGGGACTATAGGTGTGCACCACTTGGCCTGGCTAATTCAAAAAATGTCCTAGTAGAGCTGGGGTCTTGCTATGGTCCCCACGCTGGTCTTGAACTCCTGGGTTCAGGCAGTCCTCTCGCCTTGGCTTCCCAAACTGCTGCGATTGCAAACTTCAGCCACTGTGCCCAGCTGAAATGTCATGTTAAAATCTTCACCTTTATTTAAACAAAACCAGGTGGCTGCGTGTGATGATGGTTCACACCTGTAATCCCAGAACTTGGGAAGTCTTGAGGGGCCGAGGCAGGTGGATTACTTGAGGCCAGAAATTCAAGACCAGCCTAGCCAAAATGGCAAAACCTGGTCTCTTAAAAAAGTTGCCAGGCCTGGTGCCATAGGCCTGTAATCCCAACTACGCAGGAGGCTTGAGACTCACTTGAACCTGGTGGGTAGAGGTTGCAGTGAGCTGAGCTTCCACCACTACACTCCTGCCTGGGCAACAGAGCAAGATTTGGTCTGAAGAACAAAAAATATATATATACATATAAACCCTATCTTTAAATTATCAAAGCATCTTCCTCCTAATTGTCACCTTATTTAATCCTTGCAACAACCCTACTGCACTGTACCTGACCGAAGGAGGCGGCGGGAGGGGGGCGTTCACAGAGGAAGGGGCTGCAAGCAAGTCCCCCTTCACTCTTTGGGACCCAGGGGACAGCACTCACCTCATTTTACAGGCGCAGATACTCTATGCCGCTCCGGGCTCCTCTCTGCAAGTGCACTACAACGAGGAAGCCCCAAGTGACCATAAAGGGGCCAAGAGCAGGGGATGAGGGGCAACAGTGCTCAGCCTGGAGGGAGGGGGCCAGGCTGGATTCCATCCTGGGACGGACACACCGCTGTGCAGCTTTAGGTACACCGTGCCTGGCAAGTGCAGTGTCGCCTGGCTCTCCAAGCTGGCCGTCTCCAGTTCAACAAACAGCACTGTGTTCTACTCCTACTGAGGCTCTGAAACCAGAGCCTCTCTATCCACCTTGCCTCCTCTCCACAGCCTATCGGGGTGGCCCTACTTCACTCTGGGGCCTCCCACTTCTTCATGTAACAGAAAAGATCGAGTCTGGCCCCTGCTCCTGTACAGTCTGTCCTGCTGGGTGGGAGTGGGTCCTGCCCACCACCCTGGCTACTTACTCAAGCGTGGCCCCTGATGGCCACCCCCGGTCTCTGCAACAGCTGCACTCCTGGCCAGGCTGCTCCTCCCCTAGTGCTACAAGTCAGGCCTCAGTGCACAGGGGGCCCAGGAAGATCCCGTGCAGGACCTGGCCTGTCTGGTTCACAGCCGTGCCCCCAGGCAACGGGGCGAATGAATGTGTGCCCTGGGGATGGAAGAAAGCCCTGGAAAGGGAGGGAGTTGGGCAGAGCCTTGGTGTAGAAATGAAGGGCAGGGGAAACACCTGGGCCTCATGCTCTTTAGGGGCTACTACCAGCAAGAACAAACGGCTGTTGTCTTCTGTGGACCCCTCCACTGTGACCATGGCCTAGCTTTACCAAGGAGCTACATAATCCTGGGGGGATGAACGGGAATTTGAGGGTGAGGCCCCTTGCCCCGCCCTAGACATCTCAGCACAGACCCATAGGGAGGAGGAAGAGAATGGCCGCTAGGTTTCCATCTCAGCACAGCTGTGGGGAAGGAGGGAGGGGCGGCTACATTTCTTGGGCATTTCCCTTCAGCCTCACTGACTCTCCTCTCCTTTCTCGGTTGTTAACTGAGCACACACTATATTCTGGGCCTGGTTTATAAGCAGCAACTCCTGCAAGAGCAACAGCTAAGGCTGACTGAGCACACGTGGCACACCAGGCCTGGCCAGAGCCCTTCACACTTGAGATTCACACACTTGATTGTATATGAATTGTGATCACCCCAGCAAGAAGTCCTGTGGGTGGCCCCCCCCACTTTTTACAGATGAATGAGCTGAGGACAGGGAAATGAAGGCACCTGCCACGTTTGCATGGCTGGGAGGAGACCTGAACCCAGTTCTTATTCACCCACCTATGTGTCTCCCTGGGGTGCGATTTGTACTTAGGGGTAAGCCCAGTCCCACGCTGTTCCTCCACTGCCAGGCAGAGCTCCCTGCCACCATCCCTCCCACTCACGCTTCGGCAGCTCACTCACTGGAAGCAGCTCCTCGCTCCGGCGGTCCCCCGCAGATACGGGCGCAGGGAGTCCAGAAACTCGCTGAGTTGCTCGGGGCACACGGCCATCTCCTGCCGGACCAGCTGCAGGTGCTGCCGGGCCACAGCAGGAGTCAGTGTGGGGCTCCATGCCAGGCCTTCTCCCTAAAGACCCCATCTGGCGTCTATGACCTCCCTCCCTTGGTCAAAATAAAATAAACCTCCCCGACTTTTCATTGTATAATGAAAAGTATAAGAAAGGACTAGAACCTCAAGAGCCCAGTGTAGCGGTAGCCCCCACAAATGGGGAAAACAGAAGAGTTTACCCAGTCCCCACCCATGTCCACAGCTGCCTGCAAGGCCTCCAGGGCCCAGAGACACAGCACATCCACTGACAGTTGATGGACTCAGCATTTTCACATCACTGTCCGGCTGACCACTTTGCTCTAGGCCAGACTTTTTTTGGATCAAAGTCCAGGAGCCTCTGGGCCAGGTATGGTGGCTCACACCTATCATCTCAGTACTTTGGGAGGCCGAGGTGGGCGGATCACAAGGTTAGGAGTTCGAGACCAGCCTGGCCTACATGGTGAAACCTTGTCTCTACTAAAAATGCAAAAAATTAGTCGGGCATGGGGGCGGGCACCTGTAATCCCAGCTACTCAGGAGGCTGAGGCAGGAGA